TGTAATTACCATAGATTGATAAATCATTTGGTGCTTTAGTAGTACCCAATGATAATTTATTATTAACTAATATATTATATGATTTTTCTTTTAAAATAACTTTATGGCTTGAAAACAGCATTTTTTGTTTTATAAATTCATATGAATTATGAATTTACATAATTTAGTAGGATGTTATCATTTAAATGAAAATTCTCCCATTAGATTTAATTTAAATTATATGGAAAATTAAAAAAAAAATCTTTAATACTTTCAATTATATACATTTTGATCATAAGTAATAAAACACTAGATAGGTACATATTACACATGAAATAATAATAATCTAGTGAGTATGTCTGATGGGATATCGCGGTGAAATTTATCGTTTGAAATAATAGGTAATATTTTGTCGAAATTAAAAATGTGTGTGCTTTGTATGTTAATTTTTAAATAAACTAAATGTATATTTATGTTATACTGTTAGAACATGCAGTACCTAYGTAGTTTATAGGTTCAACAATTAAGTCAGTAATAAACATTTGCCATAATTATAAATAGTTTAATACAATTAATTTTTCATAAAATGCTTTATAAATAATATGTCATCTTCACTACCACCGAACGCATAATAGTCATAATGTAACCGTTATTTTTAATTTTTTTTTATATAAATATGAAATACAATGGTTACATTTTATTTGGGACCTAACTGTATAAAGAATTGAAAATAGTCGATAAAATATATTTTGGTTGCGATAGATGTTRAATCCGTAGGACATAATGGCGTGTTTATAACCTAATGTACCTACATGTGCGTGCAAAATAGCGTTAGAAACATTAATCAGTTTCAGAAACCATATACTACCCATGCTGCTATTGTGATATGGGGAACTGAATGGTTGAACGACGAGCTTTACGGTTTTATATATATATATATATGTAGAGCTCTCTCAATTTACCACTTTACCTTGAACATACGACCCTCATTTGCCATTTGTATTCCATTTTAAACGACAAAAACATAATGGGCTAAATTTATAAGGGTTTAGTAAAAAAGTCAACAAAGAAAAATATTATATAATACGTTTAAGTTATAACAACTTATTTATTAATTCTAGATCTTAAATCCTGTAAATGAATTGTTATCTACAATAGTAGATACCTTCTTCCCCATAACGCCAATGCACACTTAACACACTTAAGTGTGTTTATCCATATTTGCTATAAGTACAATACAACAGTCATATGATAGTTACGGATCGTGTATAAAAGTGTAATAAGTTTTCGTTTTCAATATTATAYATATATTTTTTTTTAATTTTATAAACTAAAGGAGCACTTAAGTAAGAAGTTGAGTAWGAGTATAAYCAGTAAACTTACACATTGATCCAACAATATTACATTGTTAAGTACATTTCTTTTTAAAAAACATGGTTTATTTCGTATGATTAATTTAGACACAGTTCAAATGCTTTAGTCTTTACAATATTTCTTATGAAGCTAATATATAGATGTTATAAACGTACATCATTATAAAAATTTGAAAATTTAATTTAATATTTATGATTAAATTTAAGCGATCCACTAAAACTACTTTACTAACGAATAAAACAAATTTAATCGATAAATAAATACATTCCGAAGCTGAAATAAATAAAAGGATTTCATTGTTTCCACGAACATAAAATCTGATATTAGATTAATTCCTGGTACTATGCTTGAAATTATTTAATGAAATGAACAATATKAAAATCAGTACCTAAACACACGGTTAATATTGATTTCATAATGTCGTAGTAAAATAAATGCTCTTCGTTCAGTTATATTTAAATAAAATTATTGCATGATTTTAAATACTAAGAATAGTATTCAGACTATGTTAAATTCGGGCAATAATAAAAGCAAATAATGTAAAAAATAACTTTAAATTATAAGTATAAATATAAATATGCTGCATTTATACTCAAATCATAATGAACAAATTAATTAAATCGTACTAATCTGATATACAAAAAATAAATGATTGAAGTTAGAACAATGGTTCTAAGCTATGCATAATTTACATTGAAACAAATTTAAACTGATGTCTAACAACAAGAATTATTTTCAAATGTCTCAAGTTTCTAAGTATCGAAGATAAGGGAAAAATGTTTTATATAGGTCAGTATTCCTATATATTACATTCCATGCATACATATTTTATGGGCAAAAACATTTTATACTATACAAATTTGTAATGTAAGATCTGGTAAATATATATTTCAATAAATATGTTTTAAAATTCCAGATACCACAGTTAATAACAATAATATTAAACATTGTAATTTATATGTTTATTTATCAACATTATTTTTGAATGGAAATGTTTTCAATGTTGAAACGCATAGTTTATAATTGTATTTATAGGTACTATTTTGACTCGTATATAGCGCATAAGACACTAGGTCTTGTTGGGAAACTACAGTATTATCTAGTATCTACTCGACTATACCCCGTTGGTAAATTATATATAAATGTCTAATTATCTATAATATACCATATGGTTACTGTTGGCAAGTTTCTGTTCCGCTTATGTTTAAGTACATAAGGGAAAGTTTGAAGATATCGTTGTGGTTAAGTGATTTAAGTTAGAATTGAGCTTATGATGAAAGTGTCGGTTGTCAGAGATTGCTAATTCATTTACCACACTAGCATTTAGTTGGTAAAGTAAAGTAAAATAAAACTACTGTGGAAAATGTCGGAAAAGAATATTTTGGAGTGAGTGAGACGTACCATAAATCCTGCACAATGGTCTGAACATGAAAAGTATTCAACTAGGTATTAATCTCACGTGCTAGTATACTTGTCAAGCGGGACTTATTGGGGATTTATATGGTTTAAATTCCACGAGTGACATTATTAGTTAGGATAAAATACCAGTAAGTACTCAAAGTTCAAATGATACTATACTCACGATGTTTAATCAAAATGTATTATCTATAACGACTTAATGATCAAAACGATTTGTTTCTCCCTGCATTTAATGATAATATTATTGTCACTTAATTTAAAATATCTTATTTTTATCAATAATATATACTGAAATCTTTAACACTTCACAGCAGAAATATATATTTTAATTTAAATTAATTTAAATTTACAAAATATAAATTGTCTAGATTCTGAGGAAAAATATATTTTATTTTTTCACACATTATCTCTTTATTTCTAAAAAAAAAAAAAAAAAATTATCTACAGATAATGATGATAATACTTTTCCCACTAGAGTAAAAAAATTGAAACTAAATTGAATACCATAAAATACATTATTTTCGTATGCTCTACCCTTATTAATTACAATTTACAATAAAACAAATAATAATATGAATAGTATGAGTTCAACTTTATTCAAATTAAATGACAAATAAAAACCACACAACCATTATTTTACCCAAAAAAGTTTTAACGTCAAAGTAAGAACTCTAATTACTTTATAGCTGTATACTAAAGCCACACTTTTCGTTGAAATTATGCTAACGTTACTTATATATCAATAGTCTTATAAAATCAATCATAGTGATACGTTTTCTTGATAATGATATTTGACATTCAAAATATAAAAAAGGAATGAACAAATATTTACAAAATTACAAACGTGAGCCTAGAAAAACTAAATCCATAAATTTCACAAAGCATGACAAATTTATTTACTTTCAATACATTTTATAAAATATATATGTGATATTAAGATTTGAAGAAGAGCCAAGTTGAATATTGTAAGTTATGCTTGATATAACTATATTCTCTATTCTCATAATGTAATATGGGTACAAAAATTGACTTTAAGCGGTTTTTTTTTACGATCGCTTATTTTATAGAGACGATGATAATATTAATAATTATCATATTATTTTCTAAATATGAAATTCCGAAACCCAAATTTATTCATAGTCATACTCTAGAATGTAATATTTCTTTAAAAAAAATGTTGTTCATTTTACGTGAAGTTCTATATTTCTATAAACTATATAGGGTTGCATCATAAAATAAAACTATTCAAAAAATATTTAATTATCAATCGATTTTTTAAAATAGTATATTAAAACATCCTATAGTTCCTATCCTAATAGTTGTAACACATGTATAAGATACTTGAAGATATAATGTGGTCTAATATATTTTAAAATTTTTGAGATTTTTGTATTACTTCTAGTTTCCTTGGAAAATGGAATAGTATATATCATGAACAATATATAAAAATATTTCAACTATAACAACTACTAGATCCAACATTTGTAATCCCATTTTTAAGTACGAAGGACTGTCATCCTTTTAAACATTTTTAAACGGAGAAACAACTCGTTCAAATTCTAGTTACATAAACATTTAAAAAAAAAAATAAGAACTAAATAGTTTTTAGTAAAAAAGATGGATTTTCATTTTAAGAACAGGAGTTTATACCGGACACTTCTTAAGTAACATAAAACATTTAAGATTTTAAAATCGAACTATTAAAAGAACATATAAGGAAGAACATGATTGGCGAATCACTATGTATATATAATAATATATTGAAATTACTTGTTAAATAATAAAATAACAAATAACTTAGAATCCAGAATATTAAACAATTCTTAACTTTAAATAAGAATCTAAGGAAAATTAAAATGATAGTCAAATTGTACGGAATGGTGTTAATGAAGTTATATTATATTGTATTGAGTATAATTTTTAAAGCCATCGTACTCAATATTCTTACTTAAATCCTAATTATTGAACATACATACAAAAAATATTCCAAAAATGCAACAACAACTATAAAAATAATGGTATTGTTTAACATACATAAAGCTTAAATAAAATACGACAGTAATTTAAACTGAGTCAATTACAATTTACTAGCTATACAATGACATAAAATGACATTTTACTTTTACAACAACATAAAATTATACCATGGTGTAAGATATGTTTGGTTATTAAAACACTTTAATAGGTTTAAAATGTTAATAACAATATTTTTTTCTTCTATTTTTCAGCGTGAAAACCGATATACTGACAAATGGCGCGAAGAGCAGGCTTTTTATAGCCAATGCACAAACTTCTGACTCGGGAAAGTACACTTGTTCACTAACTGATATAGCGAGCACATCAGTTACAGTGCACGTCTTAAACGGTTCGTAAATATTTATATTTAAATAACTGCATGCAAATAAAATCTATTTGAACTTTTTAATTACCTTTGGATTTAATAATGGACGCTGACTTTGAGATTATAAATTAATGACTGCAAATTGTATTAACACGTTTTGAAATTTTTGTCTATTATTTTCAACGAAAAAAAAATTAATAACAACCTATTTAATAAAACTAAAGGAAAAAAGTAACACATTTATGATACGTTAATTGTACCTACATCAGGCACTAAAAGGTATCAAAATTAGATATAATTGATAATTATCGAAATTTATAAATGTAAATTCACTGTCAGTAMATTTCATACTTACATACTGTTTGTGGAATTTATTATTACAAAGATTTTTTATAATTTATTATAGAAATATGTACATGTAGAGAACTGCATTAAATTTCAATTTAAATACATAACAACAACATTTTTTTTTTTCATTAATTGTTTGTGGCATCAAGTGCATGGTTATTAGCCGGCGTTACATATGAAGTTTAAATTAATTGATTAATTTCTTACATACTTGCTCAATTTCTACTTATTACCTATATTTAAAGATTTACATTTTAATCTAAGTTAACAACAACATTATAAAATACCTAATACAACATAATATCTATTAAATGTATATTTCAGTTATCTATACTTATAATAATGTTATAAAACATAAGAATTATTATTATTATAATGCTATAGTGTTACTTAAAAATAAAATACTTCATAATAATATGATAAAAAAACAGTGCTTCTCAAATTTTGGACTACATGTGTATTTCCTTTGGGAGGATTCTATTGAATTTTTAGAAACTAATATTTTAAAAATCGTAAGTATAATTCTGAATGTATAAAACTTGGCTTCAATTAGCAAACGAAGAACGATACCTAATTTGTCATCATATGTTTAAACATGCTTTCTTACAATTCTATGAGAGAAATTAATTAGACATTAGTTGCTATACCGATAATTTATTTTATTTATTTCCGGAATAAAATGTGATTTTTTTTATTTGAAAGAAATGTAAAATTGGCGAATACACTAATTGAAATACATACACATTCAACCAATAAAAAACTTAAAGATGAATAATTAATTGGAAAGCAGACTGTTGAAACCAAATTTCATAAAAAATACTAGGATAACTACAAAAAAAAACGATAGCGAGAATTTTCATTAATTTTAAGTCTCCTTACCTATAAACACTTTAACTGCCATGTGGCCGCCAGCGATCATTTGTTATTTTCATGTTTTATACTTTTGCGACCGACGGCGGTCACAGTTGATCATTACTACCACGCCACATAATCACCGGCGGCCATAACTGAATATGGTTTTATATTATCTAATTATCCATGGCGCTACAATATTACACCAAAAAAAACACCGTGGTATAGCGGGAATCATTAAAAAGTTTTTGATGTACAAAATATATTTTTTTTAATTATTTTATATTTTTAAATTTTTTTCAAATACATAACATAATTATAATATACAAATTTTAAATGACACTGAAAAATATACTTGGCGTACGATGATGGTATTTCGTATGACCGCCGACAGCCACGTGGCAGTCAAAGTGTTTTCCTTTCACAATCACATATCTCTATGAATCTGCATTTTAGAAAATTGAAATAATGAAACGCAATTATATATAATACCTTTCACATAGAAAAGCAAACTTACGCATCACTATTTAAATTGTCACACTAGATATTGGTTTATTAAACAGGAGCATAATATATACCCGTCCATGTGAAGACCCTTATACCATGCAGTAATAATAAATATGAAAACATTATTTAACGATGATTACACATTTTACTAAAACACTAAATACATTTTTTGATTTTCGTGATTCAATATATTTATTTAGAGAATTTATTCAAGTACATTAATTTCAATACTTCCAATTGTTATTAAAAAATGTGATGTTGGAATAAATTAAAAAGGTGTGTATAAAATATCTGAATTTTAATATTTTTCAAAAATGTTTGTATTTTTTCCTAAGATTTTGCATATGATTTTAAAGAGAGTCCTAAGAAAATAATAAGAATACCAAATACTTAGTATGTACCTATATGAATATAATAACTTTTAACCACAACATTTTGAAAAGCCATGAAAAAAAAGTTGTATGTCTCAGGTTAAGATTCCTATTAATTACAACAGATACTAAATAAAAATAGATTAACAAAAAACTAAATATTTGTAAACCCACTCACGTCAATTAACACGAATGAGTTCAAGTGACATTATCCAAGTCGAATCTCTGTAGTGTCTTTGAATCCACCGTTCATTAATTGTTATATTTTTTTTTTTGTTTTTTACATCTTAGTATTATTTAAAAATGAATGAAGTTAAATTATTAATCACCATTACTAAATTAATTAAAATAAATGCATAATAACCAATATATAAATTTATATTGCCGGTTTATAGCTTGTTATGGTAGATACGTATCCATACACTGAATATGTCAGATAAAATAATATTGTACGAATTAACATGTTATTGTTACTAGTTTACCATACTTTTTTTTTTAGCTTCTGTTTACCATACACAATACGTAATTCTGATATCGTATTTTCAACCCAGTAATCGTGTTGGCATAATGTCATATTTTAAAAACTAACAACTTCCTAATAGGTGTTTTATTTCATGTAGAATGCATAATTCAAAAAGTTAAAATAACGTGGTGACTTTCAATACGCCTATATTATGTTTAAGTTGTTAATGGAATCTATTGAGAATTTATTGTTATCATTTAAATGTATTTAATTTAAAAAAATATATATCTCATGATTTTCGTTCGTTGTCACTGCATTCTGATGATGGGACCAGAAATAGAAGATAATTAGACACAGTGCGTTAAGAATTCAGTGAAAAATTGTCTATTTAATGTGAAGGAACCGGCAACTTAACTTATGTTAATACAACTATAGTACTGCAGTGTACCAAACTTAACACGTATAACCATCACAATAATAGTACCAGTAATTTAAAGACGTGAAACGAACTACAAAAGTACAAAGTTAACTGATTGTTAATAATGTATGTAAAATTAAATATAATATGAAAAACGTAGCTGTTATAATTATTTTTGCATTACATGTATTTGATTTTCCAAAACAAAAAATATTCATCGTGAAAATTGATTGGAAAAATTTGTGTTCCTAGACAGATATTATAATGAATGTGTGTATTTTGTGTTTAGGTGAAACTCCAGCCGCAATGCAACACGGTGGTAGCAATCGGTGTGGCAGGTTACATTCATTATGGGTGATCATCACATTTGCATGGATAATGTTTCGATTAAGTTGACATGATTAATACGCAAATGTGCATTGTGTTCCAAATCGATATGTTACTTATTATTATAATTAACAATTGTTAACTTGAATCATAAAAGGAAAACCATAATAATCCCGATAACCCGACGGACATTTATACATTGATCGATTGATACCAAATGAATAGGTACATACCTAATATTATAAAATTATTACGTATAAGTGTATAATATACTATAATACTGTACTCGTTGTCTCATATGTTGTCTTTGTTGAGTTTTTATCACTCTGTATTTATATTTGTATCATATAAAACCTATAACTCCTATCACAGTTATTATTACTATTATTATTATTATTATTATTATTATTATTATTATTATTATTATTATTATTATTATTACTATTATTATTATTATTACTATTATGATACCTAATTATTAAAGACAAAAAATCTATAAAATATTATACGGATAATTTTAGTTGGAAATTTAATACAGCTTGTATAAATTAAACGATACCTACATATTATAAAAAATTGGTGTTTATTTTTTATTGTTTCGTTTGATAGTTCTTATTACTGATATAATATCAGTKATGTGCCCAATTATATATTAGGTAGGTACTTCCTAACCACATTATATTTTACTTCTGCACTTAAGTCTTTAAAATCATAAATAACATCACTATTGTCAAAATATTTAAAATTATAAAACTGATAAAATAGTACTAACTTTGAATATTACCTACATTAAATTGTACTAACGACCTTAAAGAAAGCATAAGATGTGACCTACACATTCTCATAGTTTTTGTCAATTTATCTATTTTTTTTTTTTATCTCGCATTAACATCGACAGCAGCGGCCATTAGTTATTACATTAATTACAATTTTTCACTAATGAATAAAGTTTCTTAAGCTATGTTATTTAAATTAAATTGTGCAATTAAGATTTTCTTAAAAATATCAAAACTTGATTGATGGTATCTGCGTTCGGCCCAAATGCCAGAGTGCTGGAAATGTTGAGGTTGTTGAGTTCATCTATGTACTAGAGGCATTCTGTTAAAAAATTTCCATTACATTGTATTAAATAAATAGGTACCTACAATGATATTTAGTAACAATTAAAAAAACTAAAATAAATATTACTTATAAACAAAAATAAACTTCAACATTTTCAAAAGAGAAGCCCGTTATTCCTTTTTCTTTAAATTATTTTGATTATTCAAGATATGAAACACAATCACTAAATTTTACATTTTGGGAATGCTATACCTTAATAGGACCTTAATAATAAATATTATTTACAATTACTTATTGTTATTTTCGGTTTCAGTATTGATACTTGATAGTATAGGTGAGGTTCTTTTGAGTCCCCTATTTTGTGTTACCGTTTACCTATGATTTTTTGAGAATTTCGCTTAAATTAATAGATTCTGTTAGTGGTTTATTGGACATGGAATCTCCCCTGATGAATTTGGGTTAGTTCATTGACTATTAGAGAATTAAAGTCTGTATTCTAATTTCTAACCGATGCTGTAGCTAACAGCCGTACGCAGATAGATTGGAATGTTCTAATTTATTCCATTTAACTTTAATTTAATTGTGCCTAGATTTCACAGTTCGAACAAGTCCAAACTGACATTAACATTTTTTTGTATACGTAATAGGTATTAATATTTGAATTTTAATAATAAATGTTGTAATACCTTATCATTATCCGATTTTAAATGATTACGTCTTACAATAATTGTTAAAGTCATATACACTGTTATGATTTATTATTATCATCTTTTAGTAGTCCATAATCATGGATGAAGTCGTCTACACTTATCTACAATTGTATAGTTTTATTAAGTCATGAGTAATTGAACAATGAAAATTTCTTGGTAAAATTAGAATCAACATCACCCGCCAATCACTATCATAGATGATTCGCAGAATCAAAAATGTGTCTTCCTATAGTCAAGTAAGAAATGTTGCGATACTATAATATAGTTATAATCTAACAGTCAAAAAATATATTTGGAAATACATAATTAAAAATTTTAAACGGTTGATTGAAAGACATAACTGTACATATTATATAATATGTATAATAGAGTTAATTATTCATGTTTAACATTATAATCTACAATTTTGTAAACCTGAAAATTTCTTATACATTAATTTCTTATTTAAATTTAATACCTGCCTAGTACCTAGTACTAATTATGTATCATCAGGGATTATATTACATATTTGTAATTTTATAAAACAAAATGGAATAAAATATAATAACAGCAACCTAATAGTAAATGATTGAATATTTTTCAGCATTACTGTTAAAATGAAATATTAATATTAAACAGTTTTATAAGTAAACAAAGTAAAATCCATATTGTTTCCGTAACTTATTCACAGTCAAATATATATATATATATTTTTACTTTTGGACTTAGACCAATATAGTCGAATATTGTAGTTCAAAAGTTTTGGTAATTTTTTCTGGAGAAATGAAACACAGACCGGAACTTACCGATCGGTGTAATGCGCCACAGAACATGGTTTTTTTCCCATTTCAAAGTTTCAAGTAAAGCAATAAAAAATAAATTATTTTTTTTTTCTAACCAAGTTTGATTAAAGTACGAGAATTTAATCGTAATAAAAATAATATTGGTGAACTATTTTTACTCGTAATTCGGAATAAATATCTCACTAGCGTAGAATTTGTACACAATGTAAAAAGACAAGAAACTTGCAATAATGATAAAGATGCTATCCTATTCTGACTATATACCTATTATTATATTTTACAACACACCGTTGTAACGATAAAATAAAAATATCGGCTTTTGTACAGTTTCCCGTGGTAACAAGACCCGATGGAGAAACGCCATTAGGTTTGATACAAAATAATTAGGTACCTAACAACCTTTTAAAACGCACTGGATACCACCACGTTAATATGTATAAGCATTAATAAAAAGTAACTTAAAATTAAACAGTAGATATATTATACATATACAAATTATAGTACCGCGATTCTTATTCTGGGTTAATTACTAACGAGCATAATAAATTATTTTACCTGAAACGTTTCGGATTTATTATGTTCGTTCGTAATTTACATTCACCTCGTCATAGATTAATATTCAAGGCGTAAAGATAAAACATCGTCGTCATTTAGCTGTAGCCACTCACGATGCAACACTCAGCTATAAAACTTATCAATCAAAACCCACACGTATTGGAGTATTTTTAACGAAGCGTATTGTTACCGAATATATATATATATATTATATATATTTTATTTTACATTTTTCAAACTAAATGATGCTTATTGTGTGGGGCTATACCTATGCAGCTATGTATTTTATTTTTTACTGTACATTTTATGTTATCCAGTGTATACATAATATACAATATATATAGTACATAATAAGTACATATATATTATATTTATGTATGGGTGTATGTGTGTCATGTATAATATCTATATTATATATATATCTTTCACGTATATCTGTGCGGTTCGACAAATCTCCACATTCATTTAGGACTCCTCTCGTGTGCCAATGTACATAAACTAACAAAACCGGGTTTGGCGACGCGAATTACACAAATAAAAAAAAAAAAAGGTCTAAAAAAAAAGAATAAAAGAAGAACAAATAACGATTAAACTCGGTAAACGGATTTTTTTATAATTTTTTTTATTTTATATGAGTTTGTTTTGTGAATGGCTATGCAATAATATAAAACACGAACGTTGTGGTATAGATTGAAAATTGTAATATTATTTTATGTGTGGTGTTTTACCAACATGTTGGATGTCAACCCTGGTTATAACTAATCTACCACACTTCAATATTAATACGTACAAGGTACCCACATATTAATAATAGTTTATAGGTGTTATGCATATTGTTAACTTCCTTTCAAATAAACATAAATTATTAGTTTACTCCAAAATATTATTAAGCATAATATATATTTTACATTACAATATAATGTAAATATTGTTAATTTTTCACGGAGAAAAATTTCACTAATAAATTACGTTCAAAGCAACGTGAAAAACAATAGCCCGTCCGGGGGTAAAAAATGTGGCAATGTTATAGACTATAGTCACAATATAACCGTTCCAACGAAATCCCAATTTTTTATTGGCATTGGTAACGAAGTTTTTGAATTACCATTATTTACGTATTCACCGTCATGTCGTCGCTGAATTTGCTGGTATATAAACTTACAGCTGTGGTGGTAGCAGCAGCGATCGCGCTTAACGATTAACGATGCATGTATGCGACCCCATAACCAGACCAAATATTTGGAGGGGCAACCGAACTTTAAGAGCGAATGCCTTTTTAAAAAATATAAAGTAATATTTATYATTAATTTGTGCGTATAAATTACAATTTTCATGATTTTTCACTGCTAGTACAGTGGTTTTCAAACTTTCATTATACACAGCACACCGTACATTTCAAAAAAATTTTCTCGGCACACTAACCTTTATTTATATGTACAAAATTGTTTTAAATTTATTATAATTTTATATACATTTAATTAGAAATTTGTTATAGATGGGCTAACAAATATTTTTAATTTTTGGACGAATAGTTGACAGACATACCCGCATTTCTTCCTCCACTGAATTTAATTTTTCTCGTTTTATTTTTTATATTCGTAAGTACTGAAAACCCTTGTTCACAAAKATATGAGGTTGAGAAYGRCAAAAGAATAGTCAATGCTTTTATAGATATTATTATTGAAAGCATTTATTTTCTTATATCGCTATGACGCAATACAATGCAATAGGTAATTTATGGAAAAACCGGGGCACGCCTAGTGGATACTCGAGGCACACCAGTGTGCCACGGCACCCAGTTTGAAAACTACTGGGCTAGTATATGTATAGCATTACAAATTAAATTATTTAATCATAATATTATACCTACATTGCTATAAATAAAATTAAGTACAATTTATTTAGAAATAATTGATAAAGCTGTAATTTTGCACACAGATAAAAACGCATAACGACTATATAAATTCCCTAGCGACTCGTACATGTAGAATTGATTTATTTTAACATTTTATAGCTTAAGAAACTAATACATTCAGTAATGGAATTATTCTCTTGCAGTCTTGCCMGGTCTAATTATATAGGGTACGCATTTTTAATTTCAAATTTTCGGGATTGACAATGGCCAATTGGGGGTCCAAACGCAATTTTTACCACTAAGTGTTGGTATATATTGGGTGCTCACAATCTCTACTCTCTGTCTCTCTACTTATGCTATATGTGTTTTCATTACGCTTAAAATAACCCAGATT